ATGTTATTTCAGTTTCAACATATGCCAGTGAAATTTAGAAAACCACTAAGGTATAGAAAAATTGAATGCGTTGAATAATAAATGGCTAAGGAAATTTATGAACACTAAATGCGATGACTTTAAGGAAGATAAGGAAATAAGAAAAATATATGGACAACCAGTGGTATTAACAGTTAAAAGACAAAGAATGTGAAACTACACTGGGCACATCTGGAAAAAAAAGCGAGCAGAGAATCTCCAAACAGGCAGTGAAATAGAAAACAGATAGCCTGGGGGAAACTAAGGCGTCTGCCCAAAACCCTCGAATGAATGTTGCAGAGAAGCCACATATGATGGACTGGATTCCATTTATGATTTATTTCAAAAGATTTGTACAAGCGAGAACAGAATGGGGGACTGGGCTGCGATCCTTGTGTGATGTATAATGGTGCCACAGGACTGTGATGGTGATAACTCTCTCTGTCCAGCCTTTACTATCCTTAAATTTCCTTTAAACATATCTTTCCTCGACACTACACAAACCTGCACTGATGCACATGTTGCTGGCACTTTCCATCTTTCCAGGCAATAACGTTATATTGAGCTTGGTGAAGCACTCTACTCCGTCATCGAGTAAAAACAGAAGATACTATAACCAACTCCTCATGAGAACAATCAGTAGAGGTACCTTGGAGTGGCTGCTGCATGAAAGGACTGAGCACGCTTAGGGATGCCCAATGTGCAAAGTGGTCGATTGTGATAACAAAACATAACATACTCTGCTATGAGGAGGCACTGGACACACAGCCTATGGTGATGGCGAGTGTGACTAGCAAGACCTTCCTATGTTAAGAAAAGTCTTCCACAGTTAGTGTAGGCAATTTCAGGATCATTGTTGCCATCACGAGTATTAAGCGTCTTTTTACACATTCAGCTCTTATTCTTTCTGTAATCATTTCTTCACTAGCCATGCGGCCGTAAATCCCCAAGCTCAAAAACCTCCCTGCCTACACCGCAAATGTCGTACAATAAAGTCAGAAGTTGACAGTTTTGGCAGTCTGGCTAACATTTCGTCCTTTATTCACATTTCCTCCTTCTGATTTGCCCCCTCCATGCAACACGGTCCAAGGCATTTTGCTCCCACGAATCTACCTCAGTACGTGTATCATTCATGTCCAGCTTGCACACTGTATATACACAAAAGAGACTGGCCTCAACATTTTAATTCACCACAGAGGATGTACAATCCTCCATTCTCCAGGTGTGGGCCAGCTAACTGAGCCTTGAGAGACTGAGCATTGAGAAAACTTGAAAACTGGTGCTCATATGTGTGCCTTACAAACTAGCATGCGGTCCTTACCTAGTTTTCTATTGTCAAAGACATTTTTCTTAAGTGTGCAGAATGCAACAGATGTATAAAATGGCGAGAAGAAACATTACCTCTTTGAAACCTGATTCAAAATCAATCCAAGGGGGGAGTAACTGATGATGGAGTCTTGGTGCCTCAATGGCTTCCTTTATCTTTTGTCCCAGCCACAACATATGTGCCGCAACCTGTTGACATTTTAATTGCAATAGTTTCTTTACATTAGTTTTATTTCGTACCAGTAAATACATAATTGTTTAAAAAATTTTATTCAATTCAAACATACCCCAATAAAGAGGTGGGAATCACGAAAGACGGAATATAAGTTAAATATATTCAAAAACAAATATCTGAGAAAACTAATTGTGTCATTTGCCGTCCCAAAACGGGACGCAATTGTTGGTTAATTTAAAGCCACACCCCGGCTGTTGTCGGTGGCCCTAATATAACCTAAAGGTCGAATGCGGTTTTGGAGACTCATACCTGGATAGTTCTCATCGTTCTTCTTCTCCTGCGTTCGACGTCAGTAATGCTAAACATTAAGTCCCGTCTGGGTCACAAATAGGATTGTGCGTTTAAGGTCGCCACCCATAGCTTCTCTCGCAATGTGGATCCTCTGGGCCAGATCCACAGTCTTTGCTGGGAGAGGTTAGGGCAGTACTGTAGTATGTGCTCAGGGGTCTGTTTCGGCTCCACAATCACAGGCAGCAGATTCTTTTATGCCTATCCTGTACAGGTGTGCTCGAAGACCACAGTGTCCAGTCCGAAGTCTAAAAATTGTTGTTTGTTCTTTCTTGTTGAGTTTGTTTATGCTGTCACTCTCTGGTCTGTAATCTCCATTCTGCCTTCACCACTCCCGCTTGAAAGACTGCTTTAGCGCTGTTTTGGTTTTCTTATAACTGTGTGGTGGATGAGGTTGTGGAAGATTACTCCAAGCTTTTGCCAACTCATCTGCTCTCTCGTTCCTTGAATACCACATTGGGCTGGTATCCACTGCAAGACCAGCTATGCTTCCTTGGAGAGTAAGCCAATGTTGGTCCTTAGTTCTGCAATTAGTTTGTCTTGTTTTTTGCTTGATAGTGCTTGGAGAACAGACAATGAGTCACTAAGTATAACAATTGTGTGCCCTCGTGTTGTTGAGTGATGAGATGTTGAACTGCAGAAAGGAGGGCAGTTGCCTCAGCTCTGAAGTTAGTGCAGATTTCCCCTGCTGGCAGAGAGAGAATTTCTACTCTACTGCTAAGGGGTTTAATGTATATTCCACAACACCCTCTCTGACTGCATCTATAGCAGAGCCGTCGGTGAAAACCTGAGTCCAAGTGGTGTTTGGATACTTCTCATCAAGAGCCAGGGTTCTCTGTTGTGTCTCCGTCTGGGCATCTTTTGAAGTGATCCCTGGTACCTTTAGGACTACATTTGCCTTCTCTGGCTTGCTTGTCCATGGTTCTGGCCTAAGTTTTCCGCACAGTGCTACATCTCTTTTAAGCAGATCTTGGTGCTGTCTGTAGTTCTCTAGCAAGGTGGCTGGGGCTCTGACGCTTTAGTCTGTTTTTTGTTCCATCTTGAAATTTAAAATACAGTGGGTGACTTTGAAGTCTTTTTAATTTCTCATACTGTAAAAGAGTTGTGTATTGTCTTCTGAATTCGAGTGGTTTAGTATCCACTATCCTCTCGATCTCTCTGATGGGGGTGGTTTTCATGGCTCCGAGAACAATCCTTAATCCTATATTCTGAACCTTGTCCAGTTTTCCCATTGTTGTCTTGGCTGCTGCAGCCCATGCAGTGGAGGCATATTCCATGACTGGCCTGACTGCTCCAGTATATACTTGTTTTAGGATTCTGGAGTTAGCGCCCCATGTGGTACCCGCTGATTTTTTTATCATTGCAAGCTCTTTGAATGCTTTATCCTGTACTGCTTCTACCTGTGACTTCCAAGTTAGTCGCGAATCAAATGTAACGCCAAGAAAGGTAGGAGTGTCAGTCTGTGGAATGAGCTGGTTTCTTATCTAAATTTAGATTTTTTCTTTTTTGGGGAGAGAGAGAAAAGTGATGCTGTGCTCTCATCCAAATGGTGGCACTATGTGTCACCGGGTGTTTATCGCTCGTTGTGCGGTCCTAGTGGGGTTGAACTTTCTTCAATCATTCCGAGGGAATGACACGCATTTAATAGGATGAATACAAAACAGGTGCAAAAAATTAACAGAAATAATAGACAGCTACAATTATTGTAGGGGATTTCAGGAATACATATGATACCAACAGTCATAAGAGTAACAATCGCCGTATCTGTCTGTCAAATTATATTGTCTTTGCTCGCATGATCCTACAGACACTGCAGATTCCAGCAGATAGTATATACCTGGAACACAAAGAGTGGGTTTAGAACCCATAAATCTACAGTAGATGTGATCTTATCCATTAGGCAGTTACAAGAAATATTTAGGGAACAATAGAAGTCACTAACTAAACAGACGAATATGAAAAGCTTCTGAAATGCTTTCAAAACTCGCAACGAGAGTGTGGTCAAACAGAAAAGCGAACAGATCAGATCAGAATTAGTTTATGAAGCCTGCATCCTGAGCAGGCTCCTTTACGACACTGAAACAGGGACTCTGTGTGACTCTATAGGCAGACAGTGAAATGGTGAGCCGTATTTTACATATAACTCACGTTACATATATATCTACTGTCAGTCGTTTATTTTTGTAATGTATAAATGTCATTACATCAGTGGTTCTCAAACTTCCTAATGCCGCGACCCTTTAATACACTTCCTCATGTTGTAGCGACCCTTTAATACACTTCCTTATGTTGTAGCGACCCTTTATTAGACTTCCTCATGATGAGGTCATCCACCCCAAACATGCAATTATTTTAGTCGCTCCATTAAAATAAAATAAATATTTGTTTTGCGCTGGTGTTTGGTGACCCATGTCAAATGGTCGTTCGACCCAAAAAAGAAGTTTGAGACACGTAGGTTGAGAACCGCTGCATTACAGGATGGTAAAACTGTCAAAACAACATACCCAAGCTGTAGCTGTAGTTATCTTTGAGCCTCCGGCAGCACCAAGAACTTGACTGACACTGCCGTCTGCAGCAATAAGCACGGCTGGACACATGGAAGACAAGGGTCTCTTGCCAGGAACAATGAAGTTTGCTGGGCTCGGCAAAATTCCGTATGAATTGGTGATGTTGGGAGAGGAAAAGTCATCCATCTGGTTATTGAAGATGATTCCTGTTTTCAGGCCGCGGCGTTCACTGCCAAATCTTGAAAGATATAGAAAGAAAAGAAAATGACCTTCAGTTAATCAACATGTCCTTTACAGGACATCGCTCTCTTCACGGCACGCCTGAAAGTTTCTCTTTTGTCGAGCCAATTCACCAGTTCCCCCTCCCCCCTCCCTACCCCCAAAAAATAGGACAAAACAAACGATCAAGAACGGCATTGTGGAATAACGATGTCATTGATATCATTTCTAAAAAGAAATAAGCATAAAAAAATTAAATAAATCCAAATGTGAACAAGATTATGTTACGTAAAGATTGATAAGAGAAGCAAAATAAAATATCAAAGCTTCTAAAGACGAATCGTGGAAAAAGTTTAGAGAGCAGATGGATACATTTAGTAGAAGTAACCCTAGTAAATTTTACAAACAGGTTAAAAATACGAGATCAAGAGATGAATGCTATAATCCAACTAAGTTGATAAACAGCAAGAGAGGCAGTCCTGTATTTGTTTCAAATCAAAGGCAGAATATTTTAAAGACTTACCCAACCCTGAAAACGAGGCAGAAAACATCAGTTTTGATGTTACAGTGACCAGCATGAACCAAACTTTTTAACATCAGAAGTAAAATCAATAAAATCAAAGCACACAGTTTTAATGGAATAACTACAGAAGCTATTCGTGTGGTCAAATTGGCATCAAATGGCTAACAAGAATTGTCAATACAACATGGGAAGAAAGGAAAGTTCCACTTGACTGGCAGCAGGCATTGATAATTCCAGTTTAGAAAAGAAAAGGTAATACAAGAAAGAGACTGCATCATACAGAGGTTAATCACTCTTGAGCCACACACATAGGAAAAATGTATGCAAAGCTATTAGAACAGCGAGTTAGACCTATAGTGGAATAGCACCTAAGTACTTGACAGTTTGGTTTCTGGAACGGAAACGTTTGCACAGATGCATTATGTACACTAAGATAAGTTTTCGAGAAAACCATTGCTATGATGATGAACGGAATATTGTGTTTGTAGATCAAGACAAATCTTTTGATAGAGAGGATAGAAACAAACTTTAGGCTGCTCTTCAGAATTATGAGATATTGGACAGTTGCTAGATAACATTATGGCCATGTACCAAACTTCCAAAAGCGCAGCGGGAACAAAAGAAGGCGTGTCTGACATGTTTACAATCAATACAGGGGTGAGGCAGGGATGTGTGCTGTTTCCTCTCTTATCTACTATATACATAGATAGAATATCACAAGAAACTAATTTTAAAGCATGTGACCCAGAAAATATATAACTTTACTTTCAGAGGAAGGCTGAATGGTACTTGTCTGAAGTTAAGTTAAATAATTTAAATATCTAAGAAGAATATTCTCGGATGATGGAAGAATAGATCGGGAAATAGAAACATGATGCCAATGAGCCAGCGTAGTTATATACCAACTGACACCGTATGAAGACGTCCAAACATAAGTATGTGCGCCAAGAAACAGATAATAATCAGCATAGTCTACAAAGACTGTGCTACAAGTGCCAGACTTGGACATTGTCAAAGGCTAACATAAGTAAATTTAACAACTGCGAAATAAGATGCCTGAGTAAAGCCACCAACTTAACTGTTCGAGACAAAGTTAGAAATGATATTATCAGACAGACTGTAGGAACAACACCATGCAGCAAATTAACCGAGAAACAGAAGATCAAATGGTTTGGCCATTTATGAGGAACGCAGCCAGAACGACTTCTAATGCAGGCACTACACATAAAAAGATCTGAAGTGAACGCAAAAGGCCGCCCTATGAGAACATGGACTGATGACATTCAAGAGCTTCTATATCGACATGGAACGACAATAGCCATTAATGCTAATCAAACTATGGACCACAAACTGTTCCTCCCCACAACGCTTAACGGCAGAAGTGGAAATTGATGAAATTGATGATGAGTTTCTTTGAAAAGAGATTCATACTTGAAATATATCAACTTACCTCCCATTGATTGTACTGGTCACAGAAACGGCATTTCCGTACTGATCAATCACAGACAAGTGAGATGTGCCAGTTGTGGCCCGGTCATAGTAGGTTGGCCCATAGTAATCATATCCGTGTGTTGTGTTGTCTGTAATCAGCTTCCGAATGTTGTCGGCATATTCTCGTGAAGTTAGGTTATATACTAGCTGATGAAATAACATATTCTCGTGAAGTTAGGTTATGTACCAGCTGATTAAATAACATATTCTCGGGAAGTGTGGTTATATACTAGCTGATGAAATAACATATTCTCATGAAGTGTGGTTATGTGCTAGCTGATGAAATAACATATTCTCGTGAAGTTAGGTTATGTACCAGCTGATGAAATAACACATTCTCGTGAAGTGTGGTTATATACTAGCTGATGAAATAACACATTCTCGTTAAGTGTGGTTATGTGCTAGCTGATGAAATAACATATTCTCGTGAAGTGTGGTTATGTGCTAGCTGATGAAATAACATATTCTCGTGAAGTGTGGTTATATACTAGCTGATGAAATAACACATTCTCGTTAAGTGTGGTTATATACTAGCTGATGAAATAACACATTCTCGTGAAGTGTGGTTATGTACTAGCTGATGAAATAACATATTCTCGTGAAGTGTGGTTATGTACTAGCTGATGAAATAACACATTCTCGTGAAGTGTGGTTATGTGCTAGCTGATGAAATAACATATTCTCGTGAAGTGTGGTTATATACCAGCTGATGAAAAAACATATTCTCGTGAAGTGTGGTTATGTGCTAGCTGATGAAATAACATATTCTCGTGAAGTGTGGTTATATACCAGCTGATGAAATAACACATTCTCGTGAAGTGTGGTTATGTGCTAGCTGATGAAATAACATATTCTCGTGAAGTGTGGTTATATACTAGCTGATGAAATAACACATTCTCGTGAAGTGTGGTTATGTGCTAGCTGATGAAATAACACATTCTCGTGAAGTGTGGTTATGTGCTAGCTGATGAAATAACATATTCTCGTGAAGTGTGGTTATATACCAGCTGATGAAATAACATATTCTCGTGAAGTGTGGTTATGTGCTAGCTGATGAAATAACATATTCTCGTGAAGTGTGGTTATGTGCTAGCTGATGAAATAACATATTCTCGTGAAGTGTGGTTATATACTAGCTGATGAAATAACATTTTCTCGTGAAGTGTGGTTATGTGCTAGCTGATGAAATAACATATTCTCGTGAAGTGTGGTTATATACCAGCTGATGAAATAACATATTCTCGTGAAGTGTGGTTATGTGCTAGCTGATGAAATAACATATTCTCGTGAAGTGTGGTTATATACCAGCTGATGAAATAACATATTCTCGTGAAGTGTGGTTATGTGCTTGTCACATATCACTCCTGTCGCGTGCCTAATGTAAGGATTTCTCCTTCAGAACCAACAGCACTCAGAGATAATTATGTTGAGTCGTTTGGCTCGTATTGGTCTAAGGGATTCCCCGTGGCCAATATACGCTCAACTTATCTCTGGAGTAGGGCAACTCAAGTATTGGCACTACAAAATATGTCAGTATATGAATACAATATTTCTAGGCACACTTGGCTGGACACCCCCACTACTTACTAAAGAAAGCCCCCAGGTTATGATAGTTCATTATCATAACCATGTTAACACATATAATGAAGATACATACACACACAACTGCTACACACTTAAGAAGGTGACATAGAGAAACCTAAGTCAGCCAGGAAAATGATTGCATGTAATTAGTATAATGTATGTACAGATGATATTGAAGTGAATTCCAGCTATCAGTGAAAGAATCTCAGAATATAATGTCTAGATCACAAAGATCCTACACAGACGAAAGGTCTTGGAGCTGACATCATGTCATCATAGGGAAACATAGGAGCTGTGATGTTAAAAAAAAAGCACATGAAGCCTCAAACTTAGCTTCCTCTTCCTGTCTATGATGCCTCCCTCCGCTCCGGATGATTCGACTGTCTTTGACTCTGGGAATTCTGCTCCACAGGATCAAGTAGTCAGAGAGTACCTCACCATAGAGGACACAATACTGCACTGGTACTTAGCAAGTCTCTATCACCAAGTAGAACACACACTCTTTTTGAGCCACCCTAAGCTCTAGCACTGGTAGGCTGTTTGAGGTACAATCTCCCACATGTTGGAGATGTCAGGAACCTTCACAGGTGTTAGCTGGTGGGTAGGTGGTTTATGGTTTATGGGTTTATGGTTGGTTTATGGTTAGTTGATGGTTGGACTGTGAAACTTCTGCCAGCTCCTCACAAAGGATTTATCCCAAGCATATGCAAAAACTGAGACATTTCAGATCGCCTTGAAAATTGAAATTATACAGGCATAGATTGACACGTCTGGACGCTTAAAAGCTGGCAAAGAGAATAGCGTCACTTAGACACCTCAGGCGTTGGTAAAAAAAGAAGTCCCTAGTATACATGGGCAAAGAGTAAATCGGTTTCCACGAACCCTCAAATAACTCCCCTAATATATATCAAAGATATATACATTTAAAAGTGGAGTTTAGTTAAAGCAACCAGAAAATGTAGACATAATATGTTGTCCAATAAAGGCCTATATATATATAGATATAAGGGACTATATCTTTCCGGGCGAGTCCAAGTTTGAATTTCGTGAAGATTTACAGGTAAGTTAGGTTACCAGTCTTACAGACTGATGCGTAATGGCTTATCATTTCACGACAGTGCTAGCTGATGAAATAACATATTCTCGTGAAGTGTGGTTATATACTAGCTGATGAAATAACATATTCTCGTGAAGTGTGGTTATATACTAGCTGATGAAATAACATATTCTCGTGAAGTGTGGTTATATACTAGCTGATGAAATAACATATTCTCGTGAAGTGTGGTTATATACCAGCTGATGAAATAACATATTCTCGTGAAGTGTGGTTATATACTAGCTGATGAAATAACACATTCTCGTGAAGTGTGGTTATGTGCTAGCTGATGAAATAACACATTCTCGTGAAGTGTAGTTATGTG